GCTCTTCTTCAATTGTTGAATTCTCATCGGGTAGAGGGATTGGTCCGCAATCTAAATCCACGGGCAATGAAAAGTTAACAATAAATAAGAACCAAAAGAGGGCAATATTCAAGATTAAAGATAAAAAAAAGCCAAACATAGAGAGATTGCTGTTGATTTTCTAGATTCAAAACCTAGAATCAAAATCCAATATTAAAAAATCATTCCCAATGAATTAAGGTATATTCCGCATTTAATAATTATCTTGATGATTTGATTAAAAAATCTTGGCAATAAAGTAATTAAATTTCCAAGTTTTTGAGATTTAAAATTTTAATAATATTCTAACATTTATATCTTGGTTAATGTTTCTTTCTTTATTCGATGTATCCCTTGACAAGTGCATCCCACTCTCCCTTTGATGATGTTATGTTAAATTGCAATCACACCAATGAAGTTCACATAGAAATGTCGCACTCAATTTGTCAAGTTTTCATAGAGGTAACACTAGAGAAACACTAAATCCTACTCGTTAAACTTTTCTTGTAAAGGGTCCCAAATGAGATGCATGCTTCTGATATAGAGTTCTCTCATCTGATCTCAATTAGCAAAACTCAAATGAAAGATAAGATGAGAAAACTGAGAAAAGAATACTTTGGAGAGTCGACTTTAACATGACTTTTAAATGTAAAATTTATGATAGATTTTTTTTGGCGTTTTATTAAGATTAAATGCTCTACTAGCAAGAAATGGAACACGAGTATTCATTGGGATGGGCCCTCCTAGTTCGGGACTGATGGCTTAATAACTTGAATATCTTTAACTTGACCATTCACTCTTCTTTACAAGCTTCTAATTGGATAAGGCATTCATTCTTTGATTTTCAGACACCACTTCGACGAAATATTATTAATAGGCAACATCATTTGTTCCAAGTTTTCTATTGCCTACAAGCCTACGTAAAACAATCACAAGAAATGCCCATAGATTGTAAAATTACAAATTTACTTTTTATTCAAAAATATATTTATCGGTTCCATTCTCCTGCGCGTCGCGCGCAGGAGATGGAGATAAGCTTTGCCTTACCTTTTTTGCAAGGCAAAGCCTCAATTCACATGCAAAGGCCTGTCACACAGGCAATAAATAATGTTGTCAGCCGCAATTCTCGTGGCTAACAGCATTATTTAATTATTATTATTATTATTATTATTTTGTCTTTTCTATAATTCATTGCTTATAAAACAACCCCAGTTAAAAAAGAAAACACACTTCGAACGCTCCAGTTATTTTCCGAGGCTTGTTTATATCTTTCTATTGAATTTGGCAAGTCTTTTTCTCTTATTTTTTCTTAAATGTGTTGTGTTATATATAAATTTACATTTTTAATTTGTTTAATTTCGTAACATGGTTTTAACTTTATTTTTGTTACATTTACAATAGTTTTAAACATGTCAATGTTTAAA